CACTGTTTTTATTTTTATCGAGCCTTGTAATCGACGCTATTCATATTACGGACTATAATGACATTTTTTACACTCTCTGAAATGATACTGTTTACGTGAATATTAGTTAGGGGCATTTTTATCATCATCGTTAACTTACTTGCATAGAATACATATATGGATATCGGTGCAACAACAGTTTTGTCGGAAAGCACCATGATCTATACAGGACCATTGCGAAATTTGCAATAATTTTTACCACGGCATCCCCCACCCTAGTAGTATCGAAATACAGAAAAAACAAATTAAAAATCGAATGGGGCAAAACCCTCATGAAGAACCCTCGATACGAAGGCAGTCAGCCACCTCGTAAACAAAGTTGGAAAAACGTTCGAATAAAAACGACGTAAACACTTTCATTTTCAATTAAAAGTAAAACCGACTTTTTGCTGCTTATCACTCATTCATGGATTCATTCATCGTTAATGGTCAGTGTAGTAATGCTTCATGATGATCGACTTTTGATTTTGACGAATGTTTGGTCCTTGCCACAACGATTTTACATTGTTTATTGGAATAAAAATAAGAGCAACTTAGAATGCTACAAGAAGTGTTGACTAGTAATACAAGCGTCAGAGCGTCGCAAGATGTTTGTTGATAGGTAAAAAGACACAGGAGTAGCGGCTGCCATTATCACTTGTTCTTGAAGCTCTTGGATAATTTCTGGACACTGCTGATTTCCACACACTAACTTTTATCCAACCGATACAGATTTATCGAAAAACGTCTCTTGAAATCGTTCAAGACTTCTTGTAGCATTCTAAGTTGCTCTTATTTTTGTTCCAATAAACAATGTAAAATCGTTGTGGCAAGGAACAAACATTCGTCAAAATCAAAAGTCGATCATCATTAACGATGAATGAATCCATGAATGAGTGATAAGCAGCAAAAAATCGGTTTTACTTTTAATTGAAAATGAAAGTGTTTACGTCGTTTTTATTCGAACGTTTTTCCAACTCTGTATACGAGGTGGCTGAGTGCCTTCGAGGGTGGTTCATGGGGGTTTTGCCCCATTAGATTTTTAATTAGTTTTTTCTATATTTCGACACTATTAGGGTGGGGGATGCCGTGATTAAAATTATTGCATATACAGGGTTATTCAGCTAAGATAACCCATTTATATCTTTAAAATAGGCAACCCAAAATACCGATTCCACCTGCACTTGGATTACAAAAAATGTTTAAAAATTGAATTGATTAATGACATTGTAAACGTCGTTTAAACGTAATTTTGAGCCACGTCTGGTCCGGATCATTGCCGTAGAATACAATACAGTTGTGTTACGCGTCTCTTCACGAGTTCTCATCGAAGTGAGTCAGTACGTTCTGCGCCAACCCTCTTACAGGGGTTGCTAATTTATACAAAACATCTACATGTATAACTTTTCATGTTTATAGTTATACACTTTATTGTGTCGAACACAGAATTTTTTTCCAATAGTATACATCGGTGGTGCAGTATTAAGCCTTAAAACCGCGTAAAAGGGTTGTTTTCTAAAAAAGTTTTGTTTTATTATTTGTTAAAATGGTGATAATATGTTTGCTTGCGTACCAAATTACCTCCCTGGTGGTCATTATGTACCTTCTGTGTGAGATGGGTGTGCGGATTATTCGCAGATTGGATTTGATTGGGCGACACTGTGAACGTTGTTTAAACGCAATATTGAGCCAAGTCTGGTCAGGATCATTCCCGTAGAATAAAAGATAATTGTGTTATGTGTCCCTTTACGTTTTCTTATCAAAGTGGGTCTTACGTTCCGCGTCAACCCTCTTACAGGGGTTGGTAATTTAAAAAAAATATTTATATAACTTTTTTGATCATGATTACAGTTATACATTTCATTGTGAGGAACACAGAATTTTTTCCCAACAATTTATTCCGGTTGTGCAGTATTAACCCTTAAAACCGCGTAAAAGCGTTGTTTTGTAAAAAAGTTTTATTGTTCGTTAAGATGGTGAAAATATGTTTGCTTGGGTACCACATCACCGTTCTGGTGGTCATTGTGTACCTTCTTTGTGCAATTGGCGTGCGGATTGTTCGCAAATTGGATTTGATTGGGCGAGATTGGTCCAGATTGTATTTGATTGGGCGAGATTGGGCGACACTGTGAACATCGTTTAAACGCAATTTTGAGCCACCTCTGGTCAGGATCTTTGCCGCAGAATAAAAAACAGTTGTGTTATGTCCTCCTTTCAGCGTTCTCATCAAAGTGGGTCGTTACGTTACGCGTCAACCCTCTTACAGGGGTTGCTAATTTAAACAAATTATCTATATAACATTTTTGAGTATGTTTACAGCTGTACATTTTATTGTGTCGTACACAGAATTTTTTCCCAATAATATACTCCGATTGTGCAGTATTAATCCTTAAAACCGCGTTAAAGTGTTGTTTTCTAAAAAAGTTTTACTGTTGGTTAAGATGGTGATAATATGTTTGCTTGGGTACCACATCACCGTTCTGGTGGTCATTGTGTACCTTTTTTGTGCGATTGGCGTGCAGATTATTCGCAAATTGGATTTGATTGGGCGAGATTGGTCCAGATTGTATTTGATTGGGCGAGATTGGGCGACACTGTGAACATCGTTTAAACGCAATTTTGAGCCACCTCCGGTCAGGATCTTTGCCACAGAATAAAAAACAGTTGTGTTATGTGTTCCTTTAAGAGTTCTCATCAAAGTGGGTCGTTACGTTCCGCGTCAACCCTCTTACAAGTGTTGCTAATTTAAACAAAATATCTATATAACTTTTTTGAGCATGTTTGTAGTTATACATTTTATTGTGTTGAACACAAAATTTTTTCCCAACAATATACTCCGATTGTGCAGTATTAACTCTTAAAACCGCGTAAAAGGGTTGTTTTGTCAAAAAGTTGTATCGTTCGTTAAGATGGTGATAATATGTTTGCTTGGGTACCACATCACCGTTCTGGTGGTCATTGTGTACCTTCTTTGTGCGATTGGCGAGCAGATTATTCGCAAATTGGATTTGATTGGGCGAGATTGGGCCAGATTGTATTTGATTGGGCGAGATTGGGCGACACTGTGAACATCGTTTAAACGCAATTTTGAGCCACGTCTGGTCAGGATCTTTGCCGCACTATAAAAAACAGTTGTGTTATGTGCTCCCTTACGCGTTCTCATCAAAGTGGGTCGTTACGTTCAGCGTCAACCCTCTAACAGGGGTTGGTAATTTAAATAAAATATCTATATAACGTTTTTGAGTATGTTTACAGTTGTACATTTTATTTTGTCGAACACAGAATTTTTTCCCAATAATATACTCCGATTGTGCAGTATTAATCCTTAAAACCGCGTTAAAGTGTTGTTTTCTAAAAAAGTTTTATTGTTCGTTAAGATGGTGATAATATGTTTGCTTGGGTACCACATTACCGTTCTGGTGGTCATTGTGTACCTTCTTTGTGCGATTGGCGTGCAGATTATTCGCAAATTGGATTTGATTGGGCGAGATTGGTCCAGATTGTATTTGATTGGGCGAGATTGGGCGACACTGTGAACATCGTTTAAACGCAATTTTGAGCCACCTCTGGTCAGGATCTTTGCCGCAGAATAAAAAACAGTTGTGTTATGTCCTCCTTTAAGCGTTCTCATCAAAGTGGGTCGTTACGTTACGCGTCAACCCTCTTACAGGGGTTGCTAATTTAAACAAATTATCTATATAACATTTTTGAGTATGTTTACAGCTGTACATTTTATTGTGTCGTACACAGAATTTTTTCCCAATAATATACTCCGATTGTGCAGTATTAATCCTTAAAACCGCGTTAAAGTGTTGTTTTCTAAAAAAGTTTTACTGTTGGTTAAGATGGTGATAATATGTTTGCTTGGGTACCACATCACCGTTCTGGTGGTCATTGTGTACCTTTTTTGTGCGATTGGCGTGCAGATTATTCGCAAATTGGATTTGATTGGGCGAGATTGGTCCAGATTGTATTTGATTGGGCGAGATTGGGCGACACTGTGAACATCGTTTAAACGCAATTTTGAGCCACCTCTGGTCAGGATCTTTGCCACAGAATAAAAAACAGTAGTTGTGTTATGTGTTCCTTTAAGAGTTCTCATCAAAGTGGGTCGTTACGTTCCGCGTCAACCCTCTTACAGGGGTTGCTAATTTAAACAAAATATCTATATACCTTTTTTGAGCATGTTTGTAGTTATACATTTTATTGTGTTGAACACAAAATTTTGTCCCAACAATATACTCCGATTGTGCAGTATTAACTCTTAAAACCGCGTAAAAGGGTTGTTTTGTCAAAAAGTTGTATCGTTCGTTAAGATGGTGATAATATGTTTGCTTGGGTACCACATCACCGTTCTGGTGGTCATTGTGTACCTTCTTTGTGCGATTGGCGAGCAGATTATTCGCAAATTGGATTTGATTGGGCGAGATTGGGCCAGATTGTATTTGATTGGGCGAGATTGGGCGACACTGTGAACATCGTTTAAACGCAATTTTGAGCCACGTCTGGTCAGGATCTTTGCCGCACTATAAAAAACAGTTGTGTTATGTGCTCCTTTACGCGTTCTCATCAAAGTGGGTCGTTACGTTCAGCGTCAACCCTCTAACAGGGGTTGGTAATTTAAACAAAATATCTATATAACGTTTTTGAGTATGTTTATAGTTGTATATTTTATTTTGTCGAACACAGAATTTTTTCCCAATAAAATACGGTATTAACACTTAAAACCGCGTAAAGAGGGTTGCTTTTTAAAAAAGTTTTATTGTTCGTTATAATAGTATTAATATACTTCCCAGCATACCACGTCACCACTCTGGTGGTCATTCTTATCATCGGTGTGCGATTGGCGTGCGGATTATTCGTAGATTGGATTAGACTGGGCGCACCCAATATAACTTAGATTGGGCGTTCCCAATATAACTTAGATTGGGCATTCCCAGTATAACTTAGATTGGGTTTGATTGGGCATTTTTAACAGGGTAGATACAGCACCTGATATAACCATTTGCTGACATGCTAAATTGAACAAAAGCGTCCATATCATCATAAACAGATTCCACCACAAAACAAAAGTCATAGCACCATTAGGCATATATACGTATCTGTCGTTCACTTCATCTCTTTGTAGAGTACCCGAACTCGCCATTAATACAAATGTGTATAGGAATATTACCATAAGTAGAAAATTTATAACAAAAGTCTGAAATCGAAACGTTAATATTAGAATTACTAGTGATGTTAAAACCTACCAAGAAAGGTTCTAACAGGAGTAAAGGCATTGCAAACACACTCCGGGCAGCTTCTTCGAAAAAAAATATTATTAACTTGATTCTATCAATCAGTGACCAAATACAAAACAACGCGATAATTCCTATTATTGTAAAAGTTATAGCAACATATAACGAACCTTCATCACCACTATCGCTGTAATCATACCTAAATACGAGAGAATATAAAAAAAATTGTAAGAAAAAACGTTCTTACCAAATAAAGCCAGTAATTGTAAACCATAGTAATATAATACCGATTATCATACCCCATACCAATTGCTTGACAAAGTAACGGAATACCAGCAAAGCTACAATTGATAAACCTAAAACATGGGTGTGAATATCATCATTTGTCACATATAGCTGTTCGGAAAATTGCACACCATCCCTACAAAAAATTATCCTAATACATGTGGTGCATTCTATTTTCTACAAAATCGTGTCCTGAAGAAAATTGCGGTGATAAATCATCATTCTTTATAAACAGTTCTTCAGTGTAGTAATCTTCTGGTGTGCAAATTTCTGAACACCCTGCATATGGATTTAAATGTTTTTTCTTGTTGAGAATATTATTATAATATGTGCTTTACCTAATCCAATGAAACAAATGCCTGTCAGACTACCCGATTCATCTTGAATTGAGTTGACTTTATCCTATAACATGTGCGTAATTTAGAAAGACTTTTTACATTTTTACATATTCAGTTTCTTACGGGAAAGAATTCTATTTCGCCATTTTCTCCCGGAAAACACCGATGAAACTCTATTACGTAGCTGAAAAATATAAAAGCATATAAATAATAATTTTCCTGAAGTTTATTTTCCCAGCATTGTTGAGAAAAAACTAAGGATGTAGACACCTTAGTATAAACTAAAGTTCAAAAATAAACGATTTATTTATTTCTTGTCCATTGCAGCTCCTGCATTATTTATTTTTGTGTAAAGTTGATGGTAATAAATATATTAAATTATTTGCTGACGAACTGGGCTTTATACAACGAAGAACTGGATGACAGACTGGGGACCTCCGTACAGTCTATACCAACAGAATATAAATCGATAGAAGGCATAGAGAAGACCTTGACCATTATCAACGACTGTCTAATGTCAGCGTATGAAAAAAGTTGCCCCCTAAAGAAGGAAGGCCTGGGCAAAGGTACACCATGGTGGAACCGAAGGCTCAGCCTACTTCAGTCGGGGCTAAGAAAACTTTTCAATAGAAAAAAAAACACTAAGAAAACTGAGGACTGGGAAGCCTATAAAGAGCACCGGAAAGAATTTAAGAAAGCATTAAGAAAGAGGAAACTGGAAACGTGGGGATCCTTCTGCAGCGACATAACGTCGACTGCTTCGGTCGCAAGGTTAAAGAGAGTTCTCTCGAAGGACCACACACATCAACTAGCTTTCCTAAAGAAAGAAGATGGCACCTTTACAGTCACGGGAGAAGAGTCCGCAGAACTTTTGCTGCAGACCATGTTTCCAGGTAGCACAAGGACTACCTCCCACTCCAAAAGAGATGTAGCCTGCACTCAACCCTCCCCGAAGGACTGGGCGCTGGCAGCAAAGGTAGTCTCGGAGGTAAGACTGGAGTGGGCAGTGGACAGCTTTTCCCCATATAAAGCTCGAGGAGTTGACGGTATTTATCCCGCCTTCCTGCAGAGGGGAATGAGCAGACTACGCCGTATTTTGTTGCCAATGCTTCGGGCGTGTCTGGCTTTCAGCTACATACCGAATGCATGGCGAAAAGTAAAGGTTATCTTTATACCTAAGCCAGGACGACAAGATTACACCTTGGCTAAATCCTGCAGACTAATTAGCTTAACATCATTCTTGCTGAAAAAGCTAGAAAGACTAACTGAAAAAGAGATTCGGGAGACTGTTTTGAGCAAGCAACCTCTACATCCGAACCAACATGCCTACATCCGAGGAAGATCCACGGATACGGCCCTACACACAGTTGTAAACCGTATAGAGTGGGCGATGGAGAACAAACTCTTCACTTTAGGAATGTTCTTGGATATTGAAGGAGCGTTCGATAAAACAACCTTCAAAAGCATAGGACTCGCCCTACAAGAACACGATGTGAACCCCAACCTGAGTAGGCGGATGGCCGGTATGCTGAGGAATAGGGAAGGACTGATTAATGTAGGTGGCACTGAGATCGAGGCTGTTAGTAGTAAGGGAGAGTAATTAGTGATTTTTAATTGCTTTTTGATTGCTTTTTAATTACCCCCTTAATTACTAGCGCTTTAATTACCTGTCTATTAATTAGGACCATATTAATTACCTTAATTACTAGCGCTTTCAATTTTAATGACTGTCTTAATTACTAGCCCTTTAATTACTAGCGCTTTCACTTTAATTAATTGTCTAGTAATTACGTCCCTATTAATTACCTTTTAATGGCACCCTTAATTACTAGCGCTCTCATTTTTTTTTTAATTACTACCTTAATTACTAGCGCTTTCACTTGTTAAGTTACCCTTATAAAACGGAGCGTGCTCCAGGTCTTTAGTTGCTACAACACTTCACCTTTCGAAGAAGTTTCCCCAAGTGCCCCAAGTGCTAGTTGTGTTGGTGAATATTTGTTGCTGTTCGTCGACCCTTCGAAGAAGTTTCTCCAGGTGGTCAAGTGCTAGTTTTGTTACAGTTTGTCAACACTACGAAGAAGTTGCTCCAGGTGGTCAACTGATAGTCGTATTAGTCAAAGTTAAGTTACCCTTAAAAAACGGCGTGTGCTCCAAGTCTTTAGTTGCTACAACCTTCTCCCTTCGAAGAAGTTTCACCAAGTGCCCCAAGTGCTAGTTGTGTTAGTGAATATTTGTTACTGTTCGTCGAATCTTCGAAGAAGTTTCTCCAGGTGTTCAAGTGCTAGTTTCGTTACTGTTTGTCGACACTACGAAGAAGTTTCTCCAGGTGGTCAACTGATAGCCGTATTAGTGAATTTTTGTTACTACTGCACTAAATAAAATGAAGGTGCTCAAGACTCCGCGAAATGAAAAAAAAGAATTAGTTCGTCTGCTCAAAATCAGAGTGAATGAGCATTTAAAGAATCTTGATCGATTGAAGAGCGAATTACTATTGTGCGAGATTCGACGCGGTTTAAAAAACATTAAACTGTAACTGAATTGAAGACAAAATTTCAAAAACTTGCTTGTGGCAATCTTAATTATCATTATCTGTTGAGTCTTTATCATATCGTTTCATTTTCTTGATACCATTACCTGAATCACATGCGCTCACTTTTCTATGTAAATCCCTGTAAATGCTAACTTTATCGCTCATTATGTTCTAACGACCGTGATGACTACAGCTAGCGAGAAGCCGAAATATCTTCTTAGTTACTAGCTCTCAAGGACCCGCCGTTGCATTTTTCCGGGTATTTTGTCTTATTAATCTTCTTCGTTTACTGTCCAGGCGCTATTACAGACCATGCGCTGTCTCTTTTCCAGGGTAAAATTCCAAAAATTGTTTTACGATTGCCTTAATTATTATTATTATCTCTTGAGCCTTCTGTCTTTTCAATGCCGATCGTTTCATTTTCTATTACCTGAATCGTAAGTACTTTCCTTTGTCTAAGTAGACCCTGTAAATCTGCACTTAGGGTTGAAATTCGATTTACATTACTTCATCCATTAAAATTGAGAAAGTTTTACCCTTGGTGTATTTAAGGCTCTGAAAATTTAGTTTTACCTGCCAGTTTGTGATAGTTTTCGGCTGTGTTTGTGCTATTCGTCGTTCGCTGTTGTCTACGTATTTTACGTAAATATGGATAATTTCGAAAGATTTTTAAGTGGTCAATCTTGGCATCAGTTGCTTTACTTGCTTCGTGGAGGATTTTTTGAAGATCGTGGTACATTGTCTATAGTACGAGACCATGTGAACTTAAGATTTATTAACAATTTTTTGTTAATGTCTGCTGATGAAATAGCGTGGTGTGAACGTTTACGTAATGAAATAGAACTAAAAGGTAAGACGAGTAAATATTTATTTTGTTGTTTGTATTAAAAAATGAAAAACTGGCAGGTTCCTTCCAAGCAATTCCTCAGGAGGTCGTTGAAGAAATATTCAGCAGTGCTGGGGTCAAAGAACAGAGCCAAGAAATTTCATCATCGCCGAGTCTTCTAAATTATACGAGGTCACAATTAAACAGAGGTGTGTTGTATTAAAACTGTAGAAAAACAACAAAAAATAAATTAAATTTGCTGCTTCCAGGTTTAAAATTTAACCAGCCACTGCCCACAAAAAATGAAACACTCAGGAGTACAGCGATTTCAAATTCGACTGCTGAACACGACGACGTCGCCGAAAATCGTGTCTGCGTGGAATGTCTACAAGACCCTTTACCATCATCATCGAGAAGCATTCCCAAATGTCCTCATCGCGATGTAAAAATAATCACCGCAAAAGCAACACCAGGGAGTGTGGTGATTTCGAAGTCCAACGGTTTGTGCACCATAAAATCGCAAGCAGAGCCACGGAGCGTCATTGAAGGAGACAGAGATCAGAGTCAAGACGTTTTATCATCACCAAGTCTTCTAAATTATACAAGGACAAAATTAAACAGTGGTGTGTATTATATTAGAACTGAGAGAAAAAATTATATTAAATTTATTGTTTCCAGATTTAAAATTTAACCATCCAGGAACGTGCACAAATTTAGTTACAGCGAAAGGAACACCGGGGACTGTGGTGATTTCAAAGACCAAAGGATTGTGTATCATTCAAAACGACGAAAATCGTGGATGCGTCGAATGTATTCAAAACCCTTTGCCGTCATGTTCGAGAAACATTCCAAAATGCCCTCATCGCAATGTAAAAATTGTAAAAATACAGACAGGACGTGGTGAAAGGCTCCCGTCAGCCGAAGTTCCGGGTGGAGCACTTCCAAACCGTAAGTTATTTTTCTTGTATTACATGCAACTATTTTAACAACTCCTCATTATCAGAAGATCGTATAAATTCAGTCAATATACGTCGAGAACAACTGAGCCATTTGAACATCGCTCAAGAAACTGAGCGACTTATAAAGAAGTTTGGGCTTTTGTCAAGAACGCTCAACTTTACTATAAAGCCCATAACTGAAGATTCCACTGATAACCCTATGCAATGGTTAAAGGTATGTAGCTTATTGCGCTCACATAAAAATGATGAATTAATATCTTAATTCGATTTTCAGAAAGTCGTTGATGAACTTCTTCGTTACACATGCAGGGAGTTTGAGCCATGTGATCTTGTCGGAATTACTCTGAAAAATGACAACTTTCCCGATAGGCCGGTAGGGATTTCATTTAGAAAATATTCAGAACTTCGATCCAGGGTGATCTTGGACGTGATAGCGGTTGTTCTCCAAAGCAACGCACATTTCTTCGTGCACGACCAGTTGCATATCCAGGTCGACCGCGTGAGGCCACCTATCGGGTACGGTAATATTTCAGCAGTCGACGGCAAGACTGTAAGTTTTTCAGAATATAGCATGACTAAAAACAGCATATATGTAATTGACAATGACGACAATGCGTGTTTGGCTACTGCGTTGGTGGTTGCAAAAGATTATTGTGATAGCGGGTACAATCGGTCTGTTTTAAAGAAGTTTTCGGGATTAAAAGGCAAGGTGTTTTTGAAACAGCGCGTAGCAGAATTATGCAATTTGGTGGGAGTGGATCTAAATAACGGTGGTCACTATGTACACATAGACGACTTCCAGAAATATTTTTGCGAATACACCATTATCGTGTATGACAATCGCTTAGGAACATCAGTCTACTATGAAG